GGCGAAGGGGCCACCGCCGCTTCGAGGGGGGGATGGGGCAGGTTGCGCGAGATCAACGCGCGGGGCGAAAGCAAGGTAATGGAGCTGATTCCAGCGCGGATAATGATGGGAGGCAATACCTTCCACATTGGCAGGCTGTCTGCTATCCCCCTCGAGGAGAATGCCCAACTATTTGAGGGGCATCAAGACAGGAAGTTCAAGGCGCGTCTTGTTTTTGACGGGTTGACGTTGCCGATCAAGACAAGAACGTAGCTCTGCGTCAAGTGCTGCCATCTTGCCCCGCGACTACGCAGGCCAGTTAGGCCGCCGGTAAATTCGGCCCCCTCCCGGGGCACGATGCGCAACAGGCTGGCGCGCGCGGGGCGCGCGCCTGGGCGCGGTTGGAAGGGGCCCCAAAGTGGGCAACGCTACTTTGGGAAGCGTGGCCCGAGAAAAGGGCGGGCATGCGCGACCCAGTGCGCCCTCTGCGACTAGCTTTATATGGTCTCCCTGACGCCGGAGGATATTGGGAAAGCACTGCGAGGATTACGTCGCATCTATGGGATTAGAACCGATTCCGCGGTGGCGCAGATGCTACGACCACCCGGAGCTGACGCCCTTCTTGATCGCGTGCGTTGATGATTTGAAGTCGGTTGCTTTGGCCGCCAATTTGCCGAGAGGATGGGGCCTCATGTTGAGCCCATCTGAGACTGCGCCCAAGGGCGCGGATATGGGCGCGCCCACCCCAGTTAGACGCCACTGGTGTTGCGGGCATCGTCTCTCGACTCTCGGAAAGGTGATTTACTGGCAGGGTGAAGACCCCGCCGCGCCGGGTCCTCCGCGCCCGAAGGTCGAGAAGCCAAGGGGCGCGACGGCCGCGAACGCCGGTTTCCACGGCCCCGCACGCGTCAGCATCGCTACGGCGCCATGGAGCGCGCCCAGGACTGCCGAGATTGCAGGGCCGAGAGGATGTGACTCTACGCGACCTGTAGCTGGCGAGCCTGGAAACGCCCCATCCAGCAGCGCCAGCGGATCTGGTGACAGATTAGTGGTGGCAGGTAGACATGGTAGGCTTCAACGCGTACCACCTCCACGTTCTGGCGACGAGAGTCAACGCTGGGTCGGGCCCACCGAGACCTTGACTGGACACTGGAGAAGGTTTCGTACCCCGCCGAGCTTTTATATTTTCCGAATTACGAGCCGAGCGCCATCAAGAGAAAGTTCAGACAGTTCCACTTGAGGTGGCACCATGCGACCCCAAAATGCGGGGCCGGGGCCCTCAGCCACGGCCTTGCGCGTCGAGCCAGAGCCCCAAGCCCCGCGCGGTGAACCCTCTGCCCCAAGTCCTGGGCCCCCCCAGCCTTGCACCCCGCCCCCCGCCCCCGACGCCCGAAGCCCTGGGCCCAGGCGGCGCGCCCTTGCCCGACTGGCCCAAAGCCTTCAGCCCCACGCCCACAACCCGAATCCCATGAACCCCGACGCCCCGAGGCCGCAGCTACGCGCTGTGAGCCCGATGCCCCGCGCCCCGCGCCCTTGCTGACCTAGGCCGCGAGCCAGGAGGCTTTCGGCCAATGCTGGGCGCCCGAGCCCTAAACCCATGCGCCCCCAGCCCCGGGCCGAGGGCCCTGCGCCTTGAGCGGCGGGTTGACAGCGCCAGCCCTTCGGCGCCTCGCCTTGGAGACCGAAGTCTACGGGCCCGTTGGCTTGAAAGTTCAGCCGTCACTCCTCAGCGGCACGCTCTCAACCCGGAATCCTGCGCCGTGAGACCTCTGTCCTACGCCTTGCGCCTTGCGCCATAGACCCCGCGCCCTGAAGCCGCCCCCTCAAGTCCCGAGCCCTAAACCGTCATATGCATGCCTCGCGATTCCCGCCCGAAGCCCTGAACAGAGCGTTTGGACCCGAAGGACTAGGCTCTAATTGTTGATGCCTGAGCCATGCCGCACATGCATCAAACCTTGCGCACCGAACCCTCAGCCATAAGCCTTGAACCATAACGCAATCGCCGTCGATCCGGCGCCCGCCGCCATGGGCCCTGAGCCCGGGGACAGGGGCCCTCAGCCGCAAACCTTCCACACTGAGTCCCAAACCTTCAGCGCTGATCAATCTGCTTCGGCGGCTGCGCGCGCGGCATGACAAAACACCATCAACCAGTTGGCGTCGGCGATGAGGCCGCGGATGCTGCCTCCTCGCCCATGCAGCGCCGCGCTTCGTTCGGAATTGGAAGCAACATTGGCAAATTCACAAGCGAGCCCCTGCCCCCCCGCCTCCCGCGCTGTCGCTGCTGTTCGCTGCTTTTGTCGCTGCTGCTCGCCGCGTTTTTCCATAGCGACCGCTGCCAGCCCCGGGCCCGCCCATGGACGCAACAAAACTGCCCCGCGCGTTGCCGATGATCATATGATGTTCATCAGGTCGCAAGCGTTGCGGCCCAGGGCTTCGGAGATGGGGGCGCGGGGCCTCTGGCCTTTGGCTCTGGGCATGATGCGTCGCGCGGGAGGGCCCCCGCTTTCGGCGCATGGCGTGGGCCATGGGGCCGCAGGGAGATGGCATCGGAATTAAGCCTACGGGGCCACGGCTTCTAGAGCTTACGGCATGATGCGCATGGGCGGGGCTTCCAAGCTGAAGGCCAAGGCCCTGCGGCCTTGCGTCAGGCATACGGCATAGGGCCCAGGGCATTGGGCGAAGGGTTTCGGCTTCCTTCTTAAGCCAGGGGGCACGGGGCGCACGGCATGCGCTTGTGGCACGGCGCATCTCCGCCATGTTGCGCCACGGCGCCACCGCGGCCCCGAGCGGCACGGGGCCGCATCGCGGCGCGGCAATGAGGAACGACGCGGCACCACAACATGGCCCGCGCAGCGGGGCGCGGCGCGGCACAGGGCGTCGGGCAGACCCAATCGTGAGATGACCCTACTCTGGCCTTGCAGAGCGGCACTGCACGCCGCGCGGGCGCGGGCAGGTCCATGGCTAGAAGCTCAACGCGGTGACGGGCCCAGGATAAATTTCACTCAGGCGTTCAGCAACGGGCGCCCGACCATGACGAACACATGCAGCATGTCGGGATGCGCGCCTGTTGTTGTCTCCCCCATCACGGTTTTAAGGGGGCCATTTTGGGCGCCTTCAGGAAAGCCTTACAGAGTTTCATCCTGCCGTCATGTGGGCTCGGATGCCCAGGGCACGCGTGCCCTCTATGTCTGGACGCCCAGTGTTTGCTGTTTTGCGGGCCAACAGTTCCAACCTACATCCTGCGTCCATCTTACTACATGATGTGCCCACGAGATGGACGATACGTTCGACTCGCTTAGGCCATCGGTGGGGCTCTCTAAGGCCGTTTGGGGGCCATCTTGGGGACCTCTCGTGTTGCGTGTTGGACGATACTGAGTCCGAAAAGATTAAGACACGACTTGTCAAAGCCTACAAGCACATTCGTGAATTGGGCCTCTCGGGTCCCTCTTGGGTGTCTTTTTGGAACCCTCTTGGGGTATCCTGGCTGTTTTGTGGCCATATTGGGGCTTCTTGGAGTGGCCTTGGGCCGTTTCGGGAACATCACGCCCCAACACACAAAACGCGCTGGAGAATCCGTGATTTGGGGGTCCGGGCCCCGACAAATCAGCCTTGAAACAAGATCGGGGACGGCGTATTCAAGAACCTGAAGACACTCCACCCCGTGCCTCGCGGCAAGGCGTCGGATGTGCTGTACTACTGCATTCAGCCCATCTACACACGGAAAACTTATCCGACACAACTCGTGCAGCGGCGGGGAGGCTGGGCCCCGAGCGCCCGTGGAAGGCCCAAGACGGCCCCAGATGGCCCCCTGGCGGCCCCAGGGGATTGAGGCCCTAAAAGAATTTGAAACAACTCCAAGACGGCCAAGGCTGGATCGAGAGCACCCAAAAGGCTCCCTCCAGGAGTTCCCCTCCGTCTGCTTCGGATCTCCCCATCCCACCCTTACCGATGTTTCCAGGAAGACTTTTGGGAACACCCGCCCTACCCTGCATTCAAGAACCCCCGGGTGCCCAGCCGCCCCTCACAATTCCCCAGACCCTTCCTGGAGCCACTTGTTCATTGATCATTTGGTTTTGATGAGACAATCGCAGAACAGCCGCGACGCTACCGCGCAGGGAAACAACGTGACAACCCCATTGGACGACGGCATAGGGTAGCCGGGCAGGACCAAACAAATTGGACAACCGCGGGACAACCAGGGGCATCCGCAAGTTTATGGCGGGACAAAATGGAGAACCGCGGCACAACAGTACGGGGCAACCCCAGCACAATCGCGGGACAACCGCAGAGCAACCGCGAGACAACCGCGGGACAGCCCGAGCACCACCGCCGCAGCGAGAAAACGCGACACGAGTCGTTGAAATTGCTTTCTGTTTCGGCTTCGGCCAGTGATCCTTCTTACCATGGCAGCTTCGCGTCACTGGCGCGCGCAGCCTGACACTGACCGAATCGAGACCGATTCCGATTCCCAGCGGGGGGGGCATTCCGTTTCATTTCGATCCGCCCATGTCTTGCCCAACAGCAATTGACGGTTAGAACAAATGTTCCGATTCGACGGGGCATGGGTGGTCACCATCGCAGTGTCCGTCGCCGTCGCCGTCGTCGTCGGTGCAGTTAGCGTTCGCACGGCCGTCGTTGCCATAGGTGTCGCTTTGGCCGTAACCATGGCACTCGCCGTCGCTTTCGCACTCGTCGCCGTCGGCACCGATGAAGGCATTGCGGACTCGCAGTGTACAGCTCAAGAAGTGTAGCTTGGAGGGGGAATCCTCACGTATTGGAAGAGTGTGGTTATCCGTGTTCAGGGGTATGTTCCTCAACCGTGCCAGTTTTGCAAGTGTGGTTGACCTGAAGTGCGGCAGACACTGGCTGTGGACGCGATGCATCAAATCCGCACCTGAAGTCAGTCGGGCGGGCCCTCCCTCTCGACGACGATGTCGGCGAAGACGACGACGACGACGACGACGACGACGACGACGACGACGACGACGACGACGACGACGACGACGACGAGCCTCGCGGAGGAGCTGGTTCCGCCGCGAGTCGCGGATGCCACACCTGCACTCGGCGCGGAGGCGCGGCGGGATGCGGGGTGCGGGGCGGCGGCGATCACCACCCACCAAACCACCCCAACCCAACCCGAAGGCTCAGATTTACCCTCGATTTCCAGTGGGGGGGGGTCAGGAAACATCGAAAAAACACATGTGGAACCCTTACCCCCCCCAACCCGAAATTCGGGTCTTCGGGTTGGGTTGGGGTGGTCTGGTAGGTAGTCAGGCGAGGTGCCGCCGCTGGCGGCCGTCCCTTGCCGTCGTGGACGGTCACGAGAACGGCGGCGGCAGCGGCCCCGCCGCCGTGGGGGCGCCGTGGCGGGCCGGGGGGGGAGGCATGATGGGACCCCCCTTGGGGGCCTTCCTGAGGGCCCAGGAGGCCCCCAGCGGGAGAGGGGAGGAGGAGGCTGGAGGGAGAGGGTGGAGCTGGAGGCTGGAGAGAGGGTGGAGCTGGAGGCTGGAGCTGGAGGCTAGAGGGCTGGAGAGAGGGATGAGGCTGGAGGGATGAGGCTGGAGGGGGATGAGGCTGGAGGGAGAAGGTGGAGGGGGACGGATCGGGGAGCTCCTCCCCTGCTCCCCGCCTGCGCCGGGCGCGAGCGCGGCCGACGGGCCTCACAGCAGGGTCGGGTTTGCTCACCCCCCACGGCTGTGCTTGCCCGTCGCCTCCGCGTTCCTGCTCTTCCCCTGCTTCTCCTCCGGGCCTCCCTTCGTGACCAGGAAAGGAACAAGATGAGAGGTGGGAAGGGAGAAGCAGGGGGAGAAGTGGTAGAGGAACGGGGCATGGACAGGAACGTCGCACGATGTTCAGGGTGAGGAAGATGAGAAGGGTACTGGGGTGGCCACGGGGTTGAGAAAGAGAGAGAGGGAGAGAGAGAGAGAGAGAGAACGCACACAACAGACGAGGAAGGATCATGCCAGGTGCGGACCGTGGGAGGAAGAGAGGTAGCCGTCGGGAAGGGGGAACGAGGAGGGAGGAGTGCCCATGTACAGCAGCGACTAGCCGCGCTTGGGCACAGCGATGCGCGAGGAGCAGCATTCCGCACCGATCCTGCCGAAGTATCCAACTGTTATCATGTAAGCGTACCCGATGCACCAACATCAGCCTTAATGTACCTCGTCGTCTGCCGATGATGCGCGGTGGCTTTCATGTGCGGCTGTTCCAGGTGCGCGGAACCCGTCGTTGTGTCGGACTTCGCCAGAGTCGTTTCTCGCCCTCGACAGTGGCGAGGGCCCTTGAACTCGGTGGACTTCGGAGACCCCATCGGGGTCGCGGGCTTCTGCGCCGTGCGTGGCGCCGAGACACGACAGGCGGAATGGTCGCGTGCTGGTTCTGTTTCGAGCGCCGCGACGCCCAGCAATCCATGATCTTTTCCGATGGCCCGTTGCTCTCGCCGGCGTGGCGCCAGCCTGCTGGTGTCGTCCTTGTTGCTGTCGATGTTGGTGGGGGGGGGGAACTTCAGGAGGGAAAGAAACACACAGACACAATTCATCGTCGATTTCCCCGAAACTATGGGAAAGTCTGGGCATGGGAGGGGGGGAAGACAAAAAACCCACAAAATATGGGAAAATATAGGGGATCTTTTTATTTGTGTGTACTTATTTGTGTGTCCCAGGGCCCCTTCAGAACTGGCGGGCCGTGGGCCGCCGAGTTTGCGTGCCAGGACGGATGCTTGCGATTCCTCGTCCTTCGTCGTCCGGTGGTCTCTGGGCGGCCTTTTCCCGTGCATGCGTCAAAGCCTGTCAGTGGTGCTCCTCCTCCTCCTCCTCCTCCTCCTCCTCCTCCTCCTCCTCCTCCTCCTCCTCCTCCTCCTCCTTCCTCCTCCTTCCGTAGCCATTTTGGCTCAAGGCCATTTCGGGAACTCTACCCCCCGACTCAAGTGGCCTGCGCCCGCCGCGCGCGAGTGTGACCCTGGAGAGGCCCAGCGGACAGGGGTCACCGCATTCTCTTTTACACAGACCGTACTTGCATTTTGCACCTTACGGTACCACGCTCCCTTCGGTTCAGTCTGTTGGCCGCGATGGGTCGGCGCAAAGGACTGCGGTCCCAGCGCCCGTCGCCGTCGCCTATCTCACGAGCTGCGAGAAGCGAGACACGTGACCCGAGGCGTCACCGTGACAGCTCCCACTCGTGCTCGGAGCGATCAGTGAGCCGCAGTCGTGGTGTACGCTCAGGCGGCAGTGACACCAGCTCCAGTGTTCGTGGCGTCACGCCGCGGGATGCGCCGCAGAAAGCGCCTGGCTGGCTGGCCGAGCTCATGTCCACCGTGAAGGGCACCGACGCCTCTGTCAAGCAGCTGGAGCAGAACATGTCCCAGGAGGTGGAGTCGTTACGGCAAGCTCTGAGTATCAATGACGCCAACCTGCGAGCAGTCAATCAGCGGCTGGTTGATGTTGAGCAGGCCCAGTCTGGGGCTATCACTTCTGCAGTCGAGGCGGCCATCAATGTGAAGCTGGAGGCCATCAACGCGCAGATTGCCAACATGAAGCACGAGAAGGCTGCCCCAAGGACTTCGCCATCCACCTCTGGCGGGAGTTCGAGTGGGGGCACCTCATCTGGACATGGTGGACATCAAGTGGGCCTCGCTATAGGGCAGCACATCGATGACACGAAGAGATGGGTTGGCACGCTTCCGAGGTGCATCACAGGCAAGCAGAAGGAGGAGCACTGGCTGAACGTGCTGAAGCCCCTTGTCCCAGAGCACATCCTGCAGAACGCTGTTCCTCAGCTAAAGGGCGTCTCGAAGAGTTACGGCATCGTCTTCAACTCTCCAGAGAAGGCCCGTGAATTCTCTGAATACATGAAGGGCCACACGCTGAGCTGGCATGACACGCGCACCGCGTCATCATGCACACTTCGCATTCGTCAAGATCTTCCAGTGGACGTGCGAGCCAAGCAGAGGGCGGCGAGCCGCATCTGGGAGGACACGTTAGCGCTGTTCAAGAAGTACAAGTGCCAGATCTCTGACTACCGCTTGGGGGTCAATGGCTTCCAGGGCCTCATCCACTTGACATCTGCTGAGGAGACCTTCGAGTTGTTCTGGATCAAAGGAAATGAGAGCACAGGCTTCACCTTCGAGCCCGTCTATGCATCATTCGCATGGTGGAAGATTCCTGAGCAAGAAGTCATGGCCGTGGTGGGCAGGATCACGGAGTTCATCTGACAAACTACGGTGCGAGAACGCACACACATTCATGAGCACCAGCTTCAACAGCCGGCTGTGGGTGCAGCTATAGTCCGTCCTGCTCCTCCGTCGAGGGCCACCAGGACGTCGCTGCGAGCTGGCAGTAGGAGCCTGGCTGCCAATTCTCTTGCAGCTGCTAACGGTTCTTGCCTCCCTCGTCCCTCGTCGTCCTCTTCGTCTTCGTTGTCGTCGTCTTCGTCTTCGTCTTCCTCCTCCGATGACGGGTCCCCTGGTTTTCCTGATTCTGCCCCACCGTTTCTAGACCTCCCCTTCCTCCCCTCATCGAGCAGCTTGAGGATTGCATCGTGGAATGCCCATACCCTTTTTGGATCGGTATGGACGAGCGCCTCCGTACAATCAGCTACGTGGGCTAAATTACGGACTATGTCTCGGAAAGTTGACATCTTAATCCTGCAAGAAACGCACGGCGAGCCAGAAGACCTACTTGAGCTGCAGAAGTTGTACCCGTCTTGGAAAATCGTGGGGTCTTTCCTGGGGACGGCGGGTGCTGGCGGTATCTTGTTCATGGTGCATGAAAGGCTTGCTGTGCGATTCAACAGGTTCAGGTTGGCCCCCGTTGTCCCAGGGAGGATTGGGATCTTGAGGATGTATGGGGAGTTCGGGAACCTGGACGTGTGCAACGTGCACGTAGATCCGAGCTGGTCCTTCTTTCAGACTAGAAATGTTCTGCGAGCTGTTCAGCGACGGCTCCGAGCCATCAACATTGCCACCACGTTCCTCGGTGGCGACTTTAACTTTTCGGCAACTGGTGAAGGTAGATTGCGTCTCTCTGAAGGCCTTCTTGAGATGGGCTCCAACTCCCTCGGTAAGTTCTTCGACGAGTTATTCCCAAGTATGTTAGAACTACACCAACCTGAGTATACCCATAAAACCGTTCATCATAGTGAAGTTGTTTCGCTTGGAAGACTTGATCGTATTTATATGTCTATTCCTACCTCTGATGTCCTCGACCTCAGCCCACTTACTGGCCTTTTGGGGGACCTATTAGATCCAAAGTTGCCCAGTGATCACACTTGCGTCTTCGTCTCGCTCACCTCCACTCCCAGGTCCACACGTCCTACTATTCCGCGGTGGATATCGCGTCACCCCAAGTTTGGGGACACACTTCGATCGCTTCTGGAGGAAGTATGTCTCTCGGAGGCTCCAGCTGATAGGGTAGAGGAGGTGAAGGAGGTGATTTACGAGGCGGTGAGGAGGGTGAAGAAGGCTACGGAACTGCTGGGCCCCGAGACTCCGTTGCAGAAGATAGCCTGGATGCTCGCCCTTTTGCGTGCGCACCGTGATGGTCGACATGAGACCGTTGTGCGAGCAATCCGTGCTTGGCCAATACTAGGAGAATACTATGACCGGCACGTTTTTCAGTGGACGGACAATGTTGGCTTTCACAACCGTCTTTCTAGTCTTATGAATGAGGTCTATACCTCGGACGAGGACGAGATTCAGAGGGATCCTGAGCTTACTCAAGTACAAAAAGCCAACGGAGTCCAGCGTATCAAGGAAATGGCGGCTGCGTGGCGGCCGCGACATCGGCGAGTTTATCTTCGCGGCCTTGTTGACAGCTCGGGACAGACCGTCACCGAGCCGTCTGAGTGTGCCAAGCAGCTTGCGGAATACTGGGGTGAAGTTTCTAAGTTTGTGCCGTCCCAGGTTTCCGAGTTCGGTTCCCTGGATCCGTTCATCCAGCCTGTCCCTGGAGGGACTCAGTGGGTGCTGCGGTACGAGCAGTTCGAAATGTTGGTCCTCAAGAAAAAAGACAGCTGCCCAGGGGTGGACGGTATTCCGTACTCTGTCTGGAAGGCGGGTGGGGGAATTGCCATTGAC